TTAGTGTTTTTGCTTCCATGAAAACTGATAAGGAAAGTATTCCAGAACTGTGGCTTGAAATTAGAGCACTTACCACTTCTAATCTTAAAGCTAAAGAAAAGACTTGATTAGCATTATATGAAATTAAAAGCTCTGGGCTTGCAAGACACAGCAGCAGAGGAAGAACAGATAGTTTCCTTCAGCAGGGCAGAGGGAAGGGTGAGGACCACAGAAGGCTTGAAAAGGGGGGTGTAAGAGACCATCCACTGGGGCAGATGTCTGAATACTTAGGCCTCCTTTCCTTGAGTGATGAGGAGCAAATAGGATAGGAAGAGTCATCAATTGGGGTCCTCCTATGTTGTGTTAGGCTGAGAGAACTACCAGAGCTTTTGGCAAAGAATTGAGATTATAGCAACTACAGTGAAGTATGTATTCTATCTGGAAAGACTGCTTAGGCAGGAATTATGTTGGGAAATTGCAAGGTTCTGCTTCGCACAACTACAGAGGGAGCAATACATGTGCGATTCAATGTGGATGACTCCTTCTAGGGTGTGGCACCATGGCAGTATGAGGAAAACCTAGAAATAAATCCACACATATCTAATCTATGGCAAAGACACCACAGCCATACAATAGATAAAGGAGAGTCTCTTTTAACCAGGATGTTGGGAAAATGATGGCTTACAAAAAAAAAAAAAAAGAAATTGGATCGTTCTCTAATTCTATGCACGAAAAAAAGAATTCAAAATGTATTAAAGACTAAGATATAAAATCTGCAACAATACATACAAAGAAGGTTGTGTTGGCAATATATTTGTTGACATTAATGATAGATGTCTTTGGAGACCAGACCCCTACTGCATGCATTCGGCTTATGTTAGCTAGAGTAGGTTTCTGTTGCTTGCAATCCAAGTACCCTTAGTAATGCAGAGTGGGATATAGCAGAGACATGGTTGAAGGCTTTCCAATCTGCATTGTGAATTACTCAGCCGAGGCAGCACTGGGTATTAGCAGCCTTGGGGATACTTATGGGACCCAGTGATGAACACAATAGCAGAGGCACAGAAAATTATGTAAGTCAATTCCCTAGTTTTTCCCATAGATACGTGCTCATAACCATACACATCTCTTCAATAGAAGTAACAAGGTCCTGCAGCACCCCGGTGGCATGTGGTCTTCTGCACTTGTGGAGGAGGCAGGTGAGGGAGAGGATGAAAAAGAGCTGTGCTAGCAGGTACACGTCAGCCCCGATGATCTCAAATCTCCTGAGATCTGTTCTTGTCCTGTAATGTAAAAGTATTTATTTCCGTCACAAGATAGTCAGTTCCAGTAAATAAATGCATCTTTCCTTCTCCAGTGACATATTTGCACTATATCACCATTTTGGAAGCTTAATCTGTGTTAAATCAGAAAAGAAGATTTTTCATTATACACATTTCTCTGCTTCTACCTTGAATACCCTTTTTTTAATCTCCTGTCCCCCGATACTCAACGTAAGAGGACCGACGACATACAATGTGTGGCTTTGTTGATAACCAAGTCTAGATCCTGTTACCAACTTGCAATTTATAGCGGTACAACCCTTGGAAAATAACGCACCCTTCTGAGTTTTTTTTCCCTCTGTACAGGGCCATGATTTCTGCAGTGGATAGTTACTGTTTTTCTCCCTCAGCGTCTATTCTTCTGTAACAGGAACCCAATTTTGACACCTCCCCTGAGAATCCCCTCCCCTGATGCCCAAGCCAGGTGTTTATAAGGATGGAGGCATGGATACCATACCCCTTCTCTGCATGGCATGTGGAAGTCAGGTGCCTGGTTAGCAATGGGTGTTGTGTCTCCCAATAGAGCAGTTGATTCATGAGTGACCATGTGACCCAACCTGTGCCAGTGGAAGTCAGACCCTGGATCTGAAATCAAATCACTGAGAAAGAGAAACTTTCTTTATCTCTTTCCTTCTCAAGTTTGGAGCTGCTGGGAACCACATTGAGGAAGGCTGTCTCAGAGGGACTCCAGGCAGGGGAAGCAGAGCTGAGAGAGAGAGAGAGAGAGAGAGAGAGAGAGAGAGAGAGAGAGAGACTGACCCACCCTCTGGCACATGGTCTGTTCAGTCTAGAAGGACCTAACATCTAAAACCCCTGGATCTGTACTCTCAGTTACATAAATCTAGAGTCTCCCTTTTTGTTAGCCTGTTAGATTTTCAAATATGCATTTGAAAGGGTCCTGAAATCTCTGATCCCATTCCTCTTTAAGTATTTGGATAAGGGTTGGAATTAAAATAGAAACAATTTCTTTTTTTTTTAATTTTTAAAATTTTTTTAAACAATATTTTCTTCCCCCCACCCCCTCAGGTGGAGTCCCCATAGAATTTGCTTCCCCAAGACACCCGTGCACCATCACCTCAGTCCCCTGTGCTCCTCCCTCCCTCCCTCTGATCCCTCTCCACCTCCTCCCCTGCAATGTGTCTCTGGTTTGTAACTGTCTGTTTTTGCTTTGTTGTGTTTTGCACTGTTATTTTTTTTTTACACTGATGTCTTATTTGGTTCTCCTATATTCCTGCTATAAGTGAAACCATCTGATATTTTTCTTTTTCTTTCTGGCTTATTTCACTGAGCATAATTCCTTCTAGCTCCATCCATGTTGCTGTGAATGGCATGCGTTTATCTTTTTTGATTCCTGAATAATATTCCATTGCATATATGTGCCACATCTTCTTGATCCAGTCATCTATTTTGGGGCATTTGGGTTGTTTCCAGGTTTTACCTATTGTAAATAGTGCTGCAATAAACATAGGGGTACAGGTGTTCTTTTGAATCACTGTTTTTGTGTCCTTTGGGTAGATCCCTAGGAGTGAAATTGCTGGGTCGTATGGTAGCTCCATTTTTAGTAGGCTGAGGAACCTCCGCACAGCTTTCCATAGTGGTTGGACCAGTTTGCACTCCCACCAGCAATGTAGGAGAGTTAAAACAAATAGGAACAATTTCTGGGCATAGTAGAAGGTCAATAAATGGTGGCCTTGATTTTCATCCTTCTTATTGTTCCTGGTATTTTCATGGGTGCTCCAGGCTCCTTACCTTCTCCTAGTTCCTCCCCATCAACCCAACACCTTGGGCAGGAATTTCTCACACCTTGAGAAAACTTGGGCAGAGACTAGAGGCCCTGACTCAAAGGTAGCTGTCAACCTCCTGCTATTACAGGGTTGACCTTAGCAAGGCAGAGAGCAGAGCTCAGAAACTGCACCCGAGAATCTGTTCTCTAAAAATCTTCCTCCTGAGAAATCATCTTAAGTATGAACATCCCTGTACCCAGCTAGACCTCCTTACCTAAGCCTGGAACTGGGGACCTGAGATAGTGGAACCGGGGGTGGAATTGAACATTAAATGAGCAATGTGCTAATTCCATGTAAATGAATATCTATTTTGAATCAACAGCTTGGGCGGTTTTTTGAGGAGGGCTGAGGCAGCAGAAATCCAAAGGGAGAATGGGAGGGGAGGGCTGTCTCTGGAGGTGTCAGAGAGCACTCTGGGGCTCCCAGCTGAGCTGCACTGCCTCCTGTCCACAGCCCCTAATGCTATTTGATCCGCTCATTAGCAAGTATGAAACACAGCCAGTCCAAAAGAGAAAAAAGAACAAAACAAAACAAAACAAAACTCAGTAATGAATAAACTAACAGATGGAGACTTAATTCAATTTGCATCCAATCTACCCTAGTACCAAGGACTTTGTTTGCCTAACAATGGAGACTGGGGGTGGGGAAGGGTCCCTGCTGCAGAGATGCTGATGGGAAGGATCCCAGATCCCCTCCCCACCCCCTGCCCCATCTCTTTGTGGGAACCAGATGGTTATTCTTGTTTGAAAGCTCCTCTCCCTTGGGCCGACCCTGAATTCATTCTCTGATCCAGAGAGCAAGGTTCTTGTGAGAAATGAGGCTGGCATTATGTGGAGGGAATGGACTGTGGGCAGTAGCATCAGAGAGGGATGAAGCATCATCTGGGAGCTACGGGGCAAGATCAGGAATCACCCCTCCTTTCCATATACACACCACTCCAAGTGAGCCAGAGGCAAGGTAACTGGGAGCTGAAACTCAGACAGAGGTATGCCTGCCCAGGTTACGCATGCTTTCCATTGTTTATATCCCAGTTCCCAAATCAGGGCACCATGCCTTACTCTGCCACTCAAAAACAGTTTTGATCATCCACCAGGTGACTTTGAATCTCTGAGCTTTGAGATTATGCATTTGCTCTGTAGGGCTGGCCACAATTGCTATGAAGTACAGACTGAGTGTGTTAATGCAGAAGCTTGCAATATTCATCGTAGCTCAGTCCAGGCTCTCATGTTAATGATGGTCATTGTTAGGGTCCATGGTGGCTCTCTTCTCTCTGCCTCTGAGGAGCTGACAGATAGGCAAAGAAGTCCCGTCTTTGAAACTGAATCCTGGGCCACAAGTCCCACTTTCTTGGGAGAAAGACAGCTCCATGTGCATTCACCTGACCGGACACAGTGTGGCACACAGGCCTGCCTCCTGTCCTGCACTGCCTCCTGTCCACAGCCCCTTAATGCAATTTGATCTGCTCAGGTACAAAAGGAAACAGGGAGATCCATGGTAGTCAAGCTTGGTTCTAGAAGAATTGAGGTGTGGGTAGAGAAGGAAAATCTTTTCCAATACTCTGTTAGACTCTGCCTAAGCATTAAACTGAAACAAGACAGACAGATTAACAGGAGAAAAACATCCAAATTTTATTTAATATTTTGATGGTTACATGAGTGCCTTCAGAGGAAACATGAGGGCCCAATGAAATGGTTAGGATGGAGAGCTTTTTATACCTTTCTAGTAAAGAAGGGTTAAATTTGTAGAGTGGTATAGTGACTGAGAAATAGATGGGGGAAACCAATGGAAGATAAGGGCTATTTGAATAGGTCTGTTTGTATAGGTCTATTTTGGCATCACTCCCAGTGTCTGGTGATAAGAGTGTCCTCCTCTTCCTGGGGCAAGAAGGACAATTTCTTTATGGGAATTGTTCTGCTTTTAGGTCAAGAGTGGAGTTCATGATGCCCTTCCTGCAGCTGCTGTTTCTCAAGGGCCGTCAGCTCACAATAACATGACAAAGCAGTGAGTTTTGGGGTGGCATGTTCTGAACTCCTTCACAAGCTTCATCTGGGGGAAAAAGGAGGGCCCTCTGCATCAGCTCAAATGAAGTCGAAAGGGAAGAGATCCTGTGAAAAGCAGTAGTGAAAAAAGGACCTTGCTGGGAAGGCCCAGGATTTGCGTCACCGGTAAGTGTGGCTGTTACCTTGTTACTCATGTCCTTTCAGTTTCTCACCTTAAGTTTTTATTTGAGGGTACAGTGGTTCTTCTGATTTGTTTCCTCCTTATTAGAGCACAGAGGGCGAGGAAATTTCTTGCCTCAGCAATATTTGGTCCTGATCCAGAGTGTTTAACCCTGGGGGTCTTAGTCCATGCTGAGAGTTAGACATCTCAACTTAGTTTTAACTAAGACCCAGGTGCTGTCAAAATGTCTGCAGGGTCAGCACAAGATTTCCTTTGGCAGAAGTGTGAGGAAAAAGGACAAGTGATGGCATGGGGGAGGAAGTCAAGTCTGGGAATTCAGGTCCATCTGCCAATTGTCCAATAAATCACTGGTCCTCACATCGAGAGGTTGTCCTGTTGGACAGCGTCCTTTGTCACTTTTTTTCAGCAGCAAGAAAATGAATATTGATTCTGTTCTTGGTTCCCTCCTGGGCCTCTTCAAATGAGTGTGATTGGGTTCTCCCAGGTTAGTAGGTGGCACTCAGGCATTCAGGGGCAAGTGCATGTGCTCAGAACTCAGCCCTTGAATTGGAAGCACAACCAGATGTGTGTTCTGGGTTCACTGCAAGAGAGGAGGGAGGAGCATCAGTTCTCCTGTGCAATTGAACTCATCTGCATTCTGAATGGGGAGGCTTTGAACTGAGTTATCTTAAAGGTTGGCTTGAAATCAGATTTGCTAAATAATCATTCCAATGAATCCTTGGAAAAGGTGGACCATTATTTTTTTCAGATTTATTTATTTATAGAAAAACTGGGGTACAGGCCAGAGGCACGGGAGGGTGAGAGAATTCACCAGAGACAGAGCGGAGAGCAGAACAGGCAGTGAACCGAAAACACTGCTGAAGGGAGCAGCTGGTGAGATAGGAGAGGTCTGTCATACCATGGGGGTATCTCCCTGGCCAGTTGGAAATGGAATCCACGCTGCAGAGGCTGTGGACAGCTTCACAGCACTGTGTTCAATCCTCTGTACCACGGGGGAGGCCCAAAGTGGACCATTATGCAGAGTGTTGGCCCCCAAGGAAGTAGGGTGCTGGGCAAAACCTCAAAACTTTTTCATGAGATATTCCTAGTGGAGAATGAAAGAGTACCTTCTAGCCCTAGTGGGAACTCTGAAGTTGCTTACCTAGGCACAAAATGGTGTTTAATTTCATGGAGTGTTGTAAAAGTCCTTGAGACATTTGTATTCTTCCCATGACATATATTTGTTTCTATCTAAAAATATTGTTGTCTCCCCATTATCAAAGTAAAGCTTAAGGATAACATGACTGGATCATGTGATACTGTTATCTGGGGTATGCTACTTTGAGAAACATGGTCCTTTGACAAAAACATTCAGATACCAGACCCCCAGGTTCTAAGCTTTGTGGATCACGTAAGTGCTTTTCCCCCAACTCATCTTTTCGCTGGGGCTGAGAAAAGAGTGGATAGATCCCCACATACTAAGTCCTCCTGGATTTCTCACAGCTGTCCTGTTGTGTGTTGTAGAAGCATTGCATCTAGTATGCCCTCCCTCCTGCAGTGACATCCCTCTTTTGACCCACAAGCCAAGATGGTGGTTTTATAGTGGATGTTAGTGATGTCGCCACTTCTCTGCTCAGTGGTGAAGCCACGGTGTACACCAGTAAGCCAGGGGGAGGGACAGCTACAAGAGGAAGCAGAGCATGGGGCTAATGAAAAGATACTATCTTTGTTTCAAAATTGTTCCTCTTGTGTATCTAAATGGACAATTATTACAAGTTTCCATAGTTACAAGTAAAAAAGGTGTTGGTGGGGGGAAACGAGTAGAAAATAATTGAAAGAGCTGACTTTGATATCAAAAATTACATCTGGATATGCTCTCTCTACTGCTGCCCCATCCCCCATTTTCCCATACATGGAGATATTCCTAGTGGCTAGGATAAGAGTGAGGAAAAGAATGGGTTCTGAGGCCTCAGTCTCTTCCATCCACAGTTTACTAAAATATCCCCTCAATCTCATGTATGCTCTGGAACCCTGCACGGAAAAATGACTGGTCTCTGTGGCCCTCAGGTCTTGCTGTCCAGGAGAAAGTGGGGTGCTTTATATGTGCTCCCTTTATTTTATACAATGCTGAGCCAAGCTCGGGGCAACTCAAGGTCTCCAAAGATCCAGGGAAGCAGACTCCAGCCCCTTGAGAACGGGAGGACAGTCAGTCTGTCTGCTGTGCAGATTTTCAGGGTACACTTGCTTTGTCTAGTTGTCATCACTGGGGTAATATGTTTTCTCCTGTCCTGGGGTAATATGTTTTCTCCAGTCCTGCCTGGCCAGCTGGGAATGCAATGCCTCTTCCTGCTCTTGTGCGGGCAGCATTTAATTTCTGTTGCCTGGAACTGAGCATCTGGCATAATGAGCTTGAGATCTCTTTGGCTTGCACTGCAGGGAGCCACCTGTGCAAGAGGAACCCTGGTCACTTGCATTATAACCCCACTCTAAGGCTCTGAAGCCAGTTTCAGGGCTTGGGAGAGGCCGTCACCCTCTCCAGGCTCTGTGTGACCTCATCTTCAAGTACGAGAGGCAGAGTGACATGGTGATAGGAGTATAGGACTTGGTCTCTGAGGGCTGACTGTAATTCATGCAGAAGCAAGTGGTGACTCTGACCTTTGCAAAGTTGTTGTGGGGATAATCACACATATCTGGATTTGCAGATGTGGCGGTGTCCAGGTATTGCCAGGGCAAGGAACATAGCCTGGGAGAGGAGTTACAAGAAGGAGCTCAATTTCCTGTCACGTTCAGTTCTTTTCCATGCACCTGTTTCCTCCAGGCCCTGTCTGATTGCAGTGTTCCCAGGAGAGCTCATATTGCGTAGTTGAGGAGAGCACATAGCTCCTCAGGAAAACTCTGTCCCTCTCTCCTCAGAGGGAATCAGAGGGCCCTCTACCTCCGGCATCCAGCATTTCTTTTTGCTTTTATCACACTGACTGCAGCTATATATTTACTCGTTCCCTGGGAAAAAACAGAACTCCATGAGGGCAAGGCTGTGTCGTACTGAGGAGCTAAAAACAGCAGAAAATCGGTGAATATTTGGTCAATGAAGGGTCGAGCAAGTTGCAGGAAGCAGGTTGTGCTCATCTGAGGACCCGAGGGTTTGTCTTTGGCTTTCTGAGCACTTGGTTCCCCCAATGTTTGCTCATTTATTTGTTCACAAGAAAGTGTAAATCTAAAAAACCAGCACATACTAAGCAAAAGGAACCTCACAGGTTGATTATCACAAGGATTGTTATGTTTCTATACAGCTCTTTATACTTTCAAATTTAGGATTGCATTTGATTCCCATGAACAATTGATGGGGGAAAAAAGGAAAGCTGAGAGTCAGGGTGGAAGAAGTCGGGAGACTGCCTGACCCTGCACAGGTAACAGTTGTGGAGCACTTTTAGGGTGGTAATCATTCGGTGTCCAGAGCATCTGCCCAGATGCTCCTGAGGCAAACCTATGATGTCATTTAACAAAGCACCTTTAAGCAGCGCTGGGAGCCTCCCACCACACATGCAGGGGTAGCCACTTTGCTCACCTTTGCAGGATTACCTGTCCATGCACTGTGAGAAGTGCTGAGCATAAAGGAATAAAACACAGCCCTGACTTCAGGGAGCTTAGGGTCCAAAAGGAGAGGCAGAAACCTAAGTTGGGCTTGAAGAATTAGAAGTCTAAATGAGGTCTAACATCAATGTGGTGGGAGAGGAGAGAATTGGGTTAGATACAGGTAGTCGAATTTGCATTTCTCAAGAGTTACAGGATGATAAGGTCTAGAGTGTGGCCAGGGGGAGTGCTTGGCGCTGATGTGGTTGAATGTTGTTGGCGCTGATAATGTCATGTCATTTGGAAGCCGAAACTTTAGATGGAGAGGCGGTACAGATGTAAAATATGACCGCAGGAACTGAGGAGCAAAAGAGAAACCTGAGCCAGCTAATAAAATCGGTAATGAGTGAGGGGAGTAAAAGGAGGGAGAAGAAGGATAATGGCAACAAGGGTGAAGGAGAGTGAAAGGATGGTAGACCAGAAGTGTGCCCTGTTCAGAGAAAGTGGCCATTTTGCAAGAAGATACAAAAGGAGACTTGGGATGTGAGTTGATGGGTTAGATTGATTTGATGTTAAAGGATGAATGTTTGTACCAACCCCCCCCCCCCAGATTAAACTGTTGAAGCCCAAACCACCAACCTGAAGGTGTTAGGAGGTAACTAGGAGCCTCAGTGAAAGGATTAGTGTCCCGTTACTGCTGGTGCTCACTCCCCAAGTGCACACACCAAGGACAGGCCAAGGGAGGACACAGTTGACAAGGTGGCTGCCTGCAACCCAGGAGAGGGTCTTCACCACATACTAAAGCTGCTGGCACCTTGGTCGTAGACCTGTGAGCCTCCAGAACTGAGAGGAGTGTCTGTTGTTTAAGCCACCCTGTCTATGGCACATTGCTAGAGCATCTGAACTGACTAAGAGTGAATAAATCTAGTCTAGTGAATCTATGTAGGAATGGCTAAGAAATCATAATGGCTTAACAACACAGGTTTATTTCTCACCCACTTTGGCTATCTGGTCAGGTGGGCATTGGAGAACCAGGCTTACTGGAGTCCTTGCCTCTTGGACTGTATCTGGCACACGAGACCTCTGTAATTACCACTGCAAGGGAACACATGGTCTGAGGGCCAAGCACTGTGCTCAGAGGTCCTACACCACCCCTCACAGCCCACTAGCCCCATTCACCTTTCAGGGGGCTGTGGAGGTGAAGCATGTGACTCTTCGGTGAGTAGCAAAGCCCTCTGCTGTCCCTGAGCAGACTCCACAGGCCTGTTCATGCACTCACTCAACACATATTTGCGTGCACATTTGGACCAATGGTGGACTAGGATACAAACGTGAAGAAGTGACTGAGGTGCCTGCACTAGGGAGTTTTTTGGCCATCTTTGATGTTTTTGTTCTCTCCTGGCTTCTGACTTTGAGTCCCTCGGACTGTCTCCTT